GATTTTACAGTTTTCGAATGCATGATAATACACTGAATTTGGTATGATGATGCGATTGTATTCCTTTAATGCATGTTTTACTTGCTTTATGTGATTACGGTTGAATTAGAAAACTGAAAATTAAAGGTAAACGAGAAATTATTTGATTAAGTAGATGGATGAAACGGCAGCCTTACTAGATATTTTGGGGGATGGTGAACGGATCGGGCACATAGGGAATCCTACCGTGAATGTTGTCTCACACCGGACGAGGTATCGAAATTTGGTGCTCATACCGTACGGGGCATCGAAATTTAATAATTTGGCGTTCATACTGGACGGAGTATGGAGACGACCCGTAAATTGAAAATGAAAAAAAAAAAAAAGGATTCACGCATAGTGGGGACATCCCTATATACCCTCATGGATACTAGTAGGCTGATAAAAGAGAAATTTATTATTTCAACTGATTGCATATGAAATTATGATGTGTTATGTTATTGACTTTATAAATTATTTTTGTAAATCTCATTACGGTAAATAAGCGGTAAATGATTTTATTTATGATAAACAAATTTACTTAAATTAAGAATTCCATTAGTTGTTTTATTATTTCTACCAACTTTCATTTCTGTGTCGGTGAGTACCGTGATATTTTTACTAGATTAGTGTAACTCATTCTTTTATTAATCATTTCATATCAAGAGGATCATAATCCAAAACCTGATCAACAAGAAGGTTACGAGTAGAACGTTCAGTTTGTTTATTTCTAATTTATTTCTTTGGTTATTTAATTGTTCTTTTAGAATGATTATTCCCGTAAACTCTATTTGTTACTTTAAGTTATTGTGTAATGAATGTGTTTACCCTAATTATTTATTTTGTTTTCGCACTAAATTTATAATTTATCTCATTTGGAATTTCCGAGATCATTACCTAAACAGTGGAGATCGGATTTGAACAATCAGAACGCATCAATTTCGCATGAACAGTAGCTGTTTTAGTGATATTTTTCTATTCCCTTATTTATTTCTTATTGTTCGGTTGATTTGTTATTGAATATTTGTTTGAAGATTATAGTGGTTCCTTATTATTACTGTAAACACTAATTTTTATAATTGATCTTTTTTTACTTGAATCAGGAGAGGTCTCGTGGTTTTTATCCTTTATATTAAAGAGATTTTCCGCGTTAAAAATTTTGGTGTTTTTGTGTGATTGTTTTTTAGCATTTTAGGGCAGATTTTATCATATTTATTTTTGACTGAATTTTTACATAATTTTCATTCCTCATATATTTATTCAAGTACTTCCCTACGGTGCCTATGTTAGGCTGGTAGCTAAAGCCATTCAAAACTTTCTACAACTTCTATGCAGACTAGTTGTTCAGACCTTCTACTTCTATATGTTTAAAAGAAAGAAACTTATGATCTAACATGTTGAGGAAACAAGAATTACTTCTATATTTCCAACATCACCCATTGGTTGCCTGTAGCTACTATGATTACCAAAGGTATTTTTTTTAACTGAATTTTTACTTAGTTTTTACTCTTCATATATTTATTCAAGTGTTTCCCTACGGTGCCCGCATTAGGCTGGTAGCTAAAGCCATTCAATACTTTCTACAACTTCTTTGCAGACTAGTGTTCAGATCTTCTACTTCTATATGTTTAAAAGAAAGAAACTTCTAATCTAACAGGTTGAGGAAACAAGAATTACCTCTATATTTCCAACATCACCCATTGGTTGCCTGCAGCTACTATGATCACCAAAGGTATTTCCAACCCGCTGGTTAGAACCGAAAGGTAACAATTCATTGGTCTTTGTTCTGTGTCTTTCTGAGCTGCCAGAAATGGAAGCTTTGGTGTGCTCCGTTTCTTCCTCCTTCC